TATTAATAAGCAAGTTTAGCAGAATCACAGTATGCAAGATCAATATACATAAAGATCAATATATATAATCCAAAAACTTTCCACAAAGAAAAGCCCAAGCACAGATGACTTCACTGTTGAATTTTATGACACAGTTGAAGAAGAATTAACACCAATTCCTTACAAACTGTTCCAAAACGTAGAAAAGGAGAGAACAATTTCCAAATCATTCTATGAAGCCAGTAATTTCCCAATACCGAAAACAGACAAAGACATCACAAGAAAAAACAAACAAAAATGAAGAAAACTACAGACCAATATCTCTTGTCAGTATATATGTAAAAATCTTCAAAAGAAATAGTATCGCCGGGCGCGGTGGCTCAAGCCTGTAATCCCAGCACTTTGGGAGGCCGAGGCGGGTGGATCACAAAGTCAAGAGATCGAGACCATCCTGGTCAACGTGGTGAAACCCCGTCTCTACTAAAAAAAAATACAAAAAATTAGCTGGGCATGGTGGCGCGTGCCTGTAGTCCCAGCTACTCAGGAGGCTGAGGCAGGAGAATTGCCTGAACCCAGGAGGCGGAGGTTGCGGTGAGCCGAGATCGCGCCATTGCACTCCAGCCTGGGTAACAAGGGCGAAACTCCGTCTCAAAAAAAAAAAAAAAAAAAAAAAAAAAAAGAAATAGTATCAAACTGAATCCAGCAACATATGAAAAAGAGAGTGTACAGCATGGTGGATGGAGACTTTTCCCAAGAAGGCAAGGTTGGCTGAAAATATGAAAATCAATGTTATATACCATATTAATAGAATAAAAGATGGAAGCTTTAAAATCAGGTCAGTGAAGCAGAAAAAACATTTGAAAGAATCCAATACCTTATATGATGAAAATACTGAGAAAGCTAGAAATAGAAATAGAAAGGAAGTTCTCTGAACTGATAAAGATCAATCTACGAAAAGTTCACCACAAACAGTACCTAGTGGTGAAAGACTGAAACTGTACCCCTAAAATCAGCAACGAGGAAAACGTTTTTGCTCTTACCTATTCAAATGTTGTACTGGAAATCGTAATAGCCATGCAAATTAGATTCTCCCTCCTTTCCCCAAAATGAAAGAAATAAATGGCATCACTATTGAAAAAAAAAAAAAAAAGGCCGGGCGCGGTGGCTCAAGCCTGTAATCCCAGCACTTTGGGAGGCTGAGGCGGGTGGATCACAAGGTCAAGAGATTGAGACCATCCTGGCCAACATGGTGAAACCCCGTCTCTACTAAAAATACAAAAATTAGCTGGGCGTGGTGGCGTGCGCCTGTAGTCCCAGCTACTCAGGAGGCTGAGGCATGAGAATTGCTTGAACCCAGGAGGTGGAGGTTGCAGTGAGCCAAGATTGTGCCACTGCACTCCAGCCTGGCGCCAGGTGACAGAGTGAGACTCTGTCTCAAAAAAAATGTATATAAAATAAAAATAGGCCAGGCACGGTCGCTCACGCCTGTAATCCAAGCACTTTGGACGCCAAGGCAGGTGGATCACCTGAGGTTGGGAGTTCAGGACCAGCCTGACCAACATGGTGAAATCCCATCTTTAAAAAAATAAAAAAATAAAATAAAAATAAAACCACAATGTGATACCATTACACAACTATTAGAAAGACTAAAAGAAAAAATGAGAAGAGAATTATTCTATGTTATTGGGTGAAATTGTTGAACGATGTGGCCATTTTGCTGGGTGGAATTGCACAATGATACATCCTCTTTGGAAGAAAATCTGGAAGTTTCCTGTAAAGTAAAACACATATTTACTATATGAGTCAGCAATCTGACTCCCAGGTATTTACCTGTGAGAAAAGAAAATATATAACTACACAAAGAAACCCTGTATTTTCATGTGCATACCTGAGTTGAGGAAACAGTTAAGCATTTTGGGAGGTGGCTGGAATTTTCAAGGCAGAGTACTGCAAAAGAGAAAGCTTATAGAAAAAGAGCTCCAGCCAGGCATGGTGGCTCATGCCTGTAATCCCAGCACTTTGGGAAGCCCAGGCGGGCGATCACAAGGTCAGGAGTTCGAGACTAGCCTGACTAACTTGGTGAGACCCCGTTTCTAAAAAAAAATAAACAAATAAAATAAAATAAATTTAAAAAGAAAAAAAGAAAAAGAGAGCTCCAGTGATCTGCAAACTTCACCTGAGTGCTGATCAGTGCAGATGTGTGGGGACACTACCACAGTTGGGGAAAGAGCCATTGGAAAGGACAGGCAGAGCCATCACCAGAACTCACAGAACTGGGGATATTTCATGTTTCCAAAGGCAGAGTAGAAAGACCTCCTAATAAACCAGTGTCAGAGAGAGGACGCAGAAAAGAGAGTATTGCCAAATGAGCCCCAGAAAAAACTTAAAGGCAAGGCTCAAAAAGGTCAAATTGTTTCCAAGTAACTTAGCTGCCTCCAAGACCAAAGCTGAAAATTAAAAGGAAAAATCCCAGAATACAATGATTTAAAATTACAGCGTCTTGCATCCAATTGAAAATGACCAGGTATATGAAAAGTGGGAAAATATGACTCATAATGATAATAAAAATAAATCTATAGAGAGACTGACTGAGAAATGACATAAATGATAGGCAGAATTAGTAGACAAGGACATTAAAGCAGAAATTACAGACTCTGTATGTTCAGGAAGGTAGACAAATCCTGAGCGTGAGAGACATGAAGTCTATTTCTAAAAATCCAAATTCAAAACTACTGGATAAGGAAATTGCAACATGTGAGATTAAAAATAGACTGGATGGGATTAGCAGCGATCTAGGCACTGAAGTGCAGATTACTGAATTTGAAGACAAGGCAGTAGAAACTATCCAAAATGAAATACAGAGAGAACAAAGACTGGAAAACTAAAAAACAAAAGAGCAGAGGATCAATAAACTGTGGGACATCAAAGTGTAATTTACCTGTAACTGAAGTCCCAGAAGAAGAGAGTCGACGGGACTTAAACACTAAAAGAAATAATGGCATAAAAATTTCTAAATTTGATGAAAATTACCAGTAATTACAAAAAGGCTCAATGAACCCCAAACAGAAGAAACCTGAAGAAAACTACATAAAGTTACATCATGAGCAAATTGCTTAAAACCAATTAACTTTATTTTATTTTTATGTATTTATTTTTTTGAGACAGAGTTTTGCTCTTGTTGCCCAGGCTGGAGTGCAGTGATGCAATCTTGGCTCACTACAACCTCTGCCACCCGAGTTCAAGCGATTCTCCTGCTTCAGCCTCCTGAGTAGCTGGGATTACAGGCGTGAGCCACCATGCCCAGCTAATTTTTGTATTTTTAGTAGAGATGGGTTTTTGCCATGTTGGCCAGGCTGGTCTCGTACTTCTGACCTCAGGTGATCCGCTCACCTCGGCTTCCCAAAGTACTGAGATTACAGGGGTGAGCCACCATGCCTGGCCCCAATTATCTTGAAAAGACACTGTTTACAAAAATGAAAAGGCAACTCACAGCCTGGGAGTAAATATTCGCAAAACAGATCTCCAACAAAGTACTTGTATCTAGAATATATAAAAAAGCACTTACATCTCAATAATAAGAATTCAAATAATGGCCGGGTGTGGTGGCTCAAGCCTGTAATCCCAGCACTTTGGGAGGCCGAGGCGGGTGATCTCGACAAGAGATCGAGACCATCCTGGTCAACATGGTGAAACCCTGTCTGTACTAAAATACAAAAAAAAAGTAGCTGGGCATGGTGGCGTGTGCCTGTAATACCAGCTACTTGGGAGGCTGAGGCAGGAGAATTGCCTGAACCCAGGAGGCGGAGGTTGCGGTGAGCCGAGATCGCGCCGTTGCACTCCAGCCTGGGTAACAAGGGCGAAACTCCGTCTAAAAAAAAAAAAGAAAAAAGAATTCAAATAACCCAATAAAAAAATGGATAAAAGAGGCTGTTGCAGTGGCTTACACTCATAATCTCAGCACTTTGGGGGTGGAGGCAGGAGGATTGCTTGAGCCCACGAGCTGGAGGGCAGCCTGAGCCAACATAGTAAGACCCCCATCTCTACCAAAAAAATACAAAATTCTCTGGGCGTGGTGGCACATCCCTGTGGTCCCAGCTACTCAGAGACTGAGGTGGGAGGATCCTTGAGCACAGGAGGTTGTGGCTGCAGTGAGCTACGATTGGGCAACTACACTCCAGCCTGGGTGACAAGCCCGACTATGCCCCAGCCTGGGCAACAGAATAAGACCCTGTCTCAAAAAAAAAAAAAGAAAGAAAAGAAAAGAAAAAACGGACAAAAGATAGATCTAAATAGACATTTTGCTAAAGATGAGATACAGATGGCAAAGAAATATATTAAGAAATGTTCAATGTCGTAAGTCATTGGTTAAATGCAAATTAAAACCACAGAGACAGACTGCTATGCCCCCGCTGCAATGGTTGACATTTTAAAAATTAACTGTACCAAATGTTGTGGGGATGTGCAGAAATTGAAACTCTCATACACTACTGGGAGAAAGTAAAATAATGTAACCACTTTGGGACAGAGTAGGGAAGTATTTGTGTATGTTTATTATTTATTAATTTGAGATAGAGTCTTGCTCTGTCACCAGGCTGGAGTGCAGTGGCACGATCTCGGCTCACTACAACCTCCACCTCCTGGTTCAAGCAATTCTCCTGCCTCAGCCTCCTGCGTAGCTGGGACTACAGACGCACGCCACCACGCCCAGCTAATTTTTGCATTTTTAGTAGAGACGATTTCACCATGTTCGCCAGGATGGTCTCGAACTCTTGACCTCATGATCCACCCACCTCAGCCTCTCAAAGTGCTGGGATTACAGGCGTGAGCCATTGCGCCCTGCCGTACATTTTTAAGTAGTTAATTATAGCCAGGGAAGGGTGGCTCATGCTTGTAATCCCAGCACTATGGGAGGCTGAGGCAAAGGAATCACTTGAACCTTTACAGGTAACCCAGACAAGTTCAAGACAAATCTGGGCAACATAGGGAGACCTCATCTCTACAAGCAATTTTTTTTTTTCAACCAGGAGAAAGCGCAAATGCAGTCCCCCACTACCACAAATTATGCAGTCGAGTTTCCCACATTTGGGGAAATCGCAGGGGTCGGCACATCCGGAGTGCAAAGGATAAGCCTTGCCCTGGGAAAACCACCTTCATGATCGTGGTGTCTCCTCTGCCAGGTAAGTAATTTTTAAAAAAGAAATTAGCTGGGCTGCCGGGTGCAGTGGCTCACGCCTGTAATCCCAGCACTTTGGGAGGCCGAAGCTGGTGGATCACCAGGTCTGGAGATTGATACGATCCTGGCTAACATGGTGAAACCTGTCTCTACTAAAAATACAAAAAATTAGCTGGGCATAGTGGGGCACGACTGTAGTACCAGTTACTGGAGAGGCTGAGGCAGGGGAATCACTTGAACCCAGGAGGTGGAGGTTGCAATGAGCCGAGATTGCACCACAGCACTCCAGCCTAGGCGACGAGCAAGACTCCATCTGAAAAAAAAAAATTAGCTGGGCATGGTGTCACGTGCCTTTGGTCCTAGATAACTCAGGAGGCTGAGGTGGGAGGATCACTTGAGCCTGGGAGGTCAAGGCTGCAGTGTGGTGTGATTGCACCACTGCACTCCAGCCTGGGTGACAGGGCAAGACCCAGCGTTAGTCTGTTTTCATACTGCAATAAAGATACTACCTGAAACTGGGTAATTTATAAAGGAGAGAGGTTTAATTGATTCACAGTTCCAGATGGCTGGGGAGACCTCAGGAAACTTACAGTCATGGTGAAAGGCGAAGGGGAAGCAAGAACTTTCTTCACATGGTGGCAGCAGAGCGAAGAGTGCAGGAAAAACTACTCGTTATAGAACCATCAGATCTCGTGATAATTCACTCACTATTTTTTTTTTTTTTTTTTTTTTTTTTTTTTTTTGAGACGGAGTTTCGCTCTTGTTACCCAGGCTGGAGTGCAATGGCGCGATCTCGGCTCACCGCAACCTCCGCCTCCTGGGTTCAGGCAATTCTCCTGCCTCAGCCTCCTGAGTAGCTGGGATTCCAGGCACGCGCCACCATGCCCAGCTAATTTTTTGTATTTTTAGTAGAGACGGGGTTTCACCATGTTGACCAGGATGGTCTTGATCTCTTGACCTCGTGATCCACCCGTCTCAGCCTCCCAAAGTGCTGGGATTACAGGCTTGAGCCACCGCGCCCGGCAATTCACTCACTATTAAGAGAACAGCAGCTTGGGGGAAACGGCACCCATAATCTAATCACTTTCCTTCCTTCACCTGTGGGGATTACAGATCCCTCTGTCAACACATGGGGATTTGCAATTAAAGATGAGATTTGGGTAGAGACACAGAGCCAAACCATATCAGATCCTGTCTCAAAAAAGAAAAATACGTTAATTATTCACCTGCAGTGTGACCTAACCATTCCACTCCTATTTACTCAAAAGAAATGAAAGCATATGACCATACAAAGACTATACGTCAATGTACATAGCAGCTTTATTAGTAATGGCCCCAAACTGGAAATAACCCAAGTGTCCATCAGCAACTGGGTGGTAAGCAAATGGTGGAACATCCACACAATGGAATACTACTCAGCAATATGGATCACGAAGTGAATGAATCTCAACAATTATGTTAAGTAAATGAAGCTAGACCAAAACAAACAAACAAACAAACAAACAAACAAACAAACTTATCCTGTATAATTCCATTTATATAAAATCCTAGAAGTGGGAGGATCGCTTGAGGCCAGGAGTTTGAGACCAGCCTGAGCAACATAGCAAGACCCTGTCTCCAAAAAAAAATAGGAAAAAAAGTTAGCCAGATCCTTGTGCCTGTAGTCCCAGCTACTTAAGAGGCTGAGGCAGGAGGATCACTTGAGCCTAGGAGTTTGAGGCTGCAGTGGGCTGTGATGGCACCACCGCACTCCAGCCTGGGCAACAGAGCAAGACCTCATGTCTAAAAGTAAATAAATAGGCCAGGTGCAGTAGCTCACACCTGTAATCCCAGCACTTTGGGAGGCCGAGGCTGGTGGATCACAAGGTCAGGAGTTCAAGACCAGCTTGGCCAGATGGTAGAACCTGTCTGTACTGAAAATACAAAAATTAGCTGGGTGTGGTGTAATCCCAGCTCTCAAGAGGCTGAGGCAGAAGAATCACTTGAACCTGGGAGGTGGAGATTGTAGTGAGCCACTGTACTCCAGCCTGGGAGACAGAGCAAGACTCCATCTCAATAAAAGAAAATAATTTAAAATCTAGAATTTTGCATTATTTGGTAAAAGTGAACATTTCCGCACCCTGTGATCCAGCAGTTCTAATCCTGGAGACATGGACAGAATAGTCACAGAGCACTTTTATTAGATCAGAAACAAAATAGCCCACATACCCGTTACAGTCGAGTGAATAAATGAATTGTGGTTCGATCACACAACAGAATACTATATTGTAGTGAAACAGGAAACTGTAGCTCCATGCATTAACATGGATGTAGCTGATGATATTTTCCAGACGGCCACCACAATATAGCCCATCTCATGTGCTCTTCTGACCTTTTGAGATGCCAGGGACAGGTTACATCTTTCTTGTAGTCCCACAGGTCCCTGAAACTGCTTTTTTTTTCCCCTTCCAGTCTATTTTCTTTCTGGCTCAGTTTCAGTCTATTTTCTCTGTGATTCGGATTGGGTAATTTCTATTCTGTGTTTCAGTTTACAAATTCTTCTGTTCCCCCCCACCACCCCTCAGTTCTTCTGTTGCACACATCCACTGACCTTTAAAATTTAAAATTGCGAGGCCGGGCGCGGTGGCTCAAGCCTGTAATCCCAGCACTTTGGGAGGCCGAGGTGGGTGGATCACAAGGTCAAGAGATCGAGACCATCCCGGTCAACATGGTGAAACCCCGTCTCTACTAAAAATACAAAAAATTAGCTGGGCATGGTGGCACGTGCCTGTAATCCCAGCTACTCAGGAGGCTGAGGCAGGAGAATTGCCTGAACCCAGGAGGCGGAGGTTGCGGTGAGCCGAGATCGCACCATTGCACTCCAGCCTGGGTAACGAGAGCGAAACTCTGTCTCAAAAAAAATTTAAAATTGTGATCATTGTCTGTTTCAGTTCTAACATTCCCATTTGGTAGTACATATGGTAATTAGCTTGGTTTAGCCATTTCCCATGTCTACATGTATCAAAACATCATTTGTATACCATAAGTATATAATTTTTGTTTGTCAACAAAAATAAAATTTCTGTTTGGTTCTTTTCTCTCTGTCTCTCTCTTCCGCTGTCCTTCTGCGCCTGTTTTAATTTTTTTTTTTTTTTTGACAGGTCTTCCTCTGTTGCCCAGGCTGGAGTACAGTGGTGTGATTACAACTCACTGCCGCCTTGACCTCTCAGGCTCAAGCAATCCTCCCACCTCAGCCTCCTGAGTAGCTGGGACCACAGGTGGGCACCACCACACCGGCTAATTTGTTGTAGAGACAAGGGTTTGCCATGTTGCCCAGGCTGCTCTCAAACTCCTGGGTTCCAGTAATCCACCCACTTTGGCCTCCTAAAGTGCTGGGATTACAGGCACAATTTACTGCACCTGGCCTGTATCTTCTATTTCTTTCCTGAGACTTCCCATGTTTTTGTTTCAAGTGTGTTAGCAATTGCTCATGAAGCATTTTATGATGGCTGCTTTAACCTCTTCATCAGAAAACTCTTAAGTCTCCATCATCATGGCATTAGCATCTATTCATTGTCTTTTCTCATTCAGTGTGAGATCTTCCTGGTTCTCTGCATGACTGGTGATTTTCTGCTGAGACCCAGTCATGTGAGGTATGACGCGACTCTGGGTCTTACTGAAACCTTCTTGCTTCCCATGATGCTACTCCAGCACACGAGGGGAGCTGCTGCCTCCTCAGCACCCATGGACTCTAGAGAACAGGGCACTGTGCCTTACTTTGGAGGGTATGGGAGCCCTAGATTCCTCTAGACCACCACTGGCTGTGCAGGGTGGGGGTATCGCCTGTTAGGGTCACAGGAAGACAAGCCCATAGACCCCCTCTCCATTCTCCCCTGCAAAGCCAAACTCACAACAAACAAAAACGGCCTGAAGCCTTGCAAACAGGGCACCTGGGTTCTAGGATGTGGTCACTCCCAGCTCTTGAACCCAGGATGGTGACCCAATTAAGCAGAATGTTAGCACGTAAGAACCAAGAAGCAGTTTTTCTTAGACTAGCACCTGGCTACCTGCAAACCCCCTATGTAAGCCCCATAGTCTGTAAGCCAGGCTGCTGCCTTCACTGACTGTGGGTGAAAAAAACTTGCCAAACCTGACCCTGGGTTTGCCTCTCTGCTTACATTGCCTTATTGCTTCTTCATGGCCTCCATTTTCACCATATTCTCGGGACGGCAGTGACCTTAGAGTGGACAAAGGAGATGTGATTGGGGAGGAGACACAGGAGGCTTCAAAGGAAACTGGGAATGTTTTATTTTGTATTTGGGAAGTAGGTATATAGGTTTTGTTCTTTTGTTTTTTGAGACAGAGTCTTGCTTTGTCGCCCAGGCTGGAGTGCCGCAGCGCGATCTCAGCTCACGGCAACCTCTGCCTCCGGGGTTCAAGCCATTCTCCTCCCTCCTAAGTAGCTAGGATTACAGGCATGTGCCACCACACCCGGCTAATTTTTTGCATATTTGGTAGAGACGGGGTTTCACCACGTTGGCCAGGCTCGTCTCAAACTCCTGACCTCAGGTGATTCATGGGCCTCTGCCTCTCAAAGGGCTGGGATTACAGGCGTGAGCCACTGTGCCCAGCCAGAATACAAGTTTTAATTTTATTATTATTACATGTTACAGAAAGTTTTAAAAACAGAAAAACCTAACCCCAACAGAGCAGAAATATGCCGTCTGTGCTTAGAATATTTGTAACACAGTTAGCTAAGCTCCTCAGACATAGGATATCCATTGTCTATAGTATTAAGCACTGTCTATGTGCCAAGCACTTCCCACACATCATCTTACTTATCCCTCACCATACTCCTAGGGGATAGATACTAACCCGTTTTACAGACCAGGAAGCTCAGGCTCAAAGAGGTTAAGTCGCTTGCCCAGAATCACAGAGCAATATGTGGCTGAGATGGGACAGGAACCCAGGCCTGTCTGCAGAGCCTGTATTCTTCAACCCACAGCACCCGAACAAGGTTAAAACCAGTTAAA